TTTCAGACATTTTTTTTAGTTAATTAACAGCTTCTATTTTTTTGGTTCTTGTTTTTTATGGATCCTAAAATGAAAATAGAAGATTGGGGGTGAATCATAAATCCAAAGGAGGTTTCATGGCCAAAGGTAAAGATGTTCGAGTAACAATTATTTTGGAATGTACCAGTTGTGTTCGAAATGATATTAAGAAAGAATCGTCGGGCGGGGGAAGCTACCGCTTATACGACAGCTCCGCTTCCTCGTCTTGCTTCTGGCAAAGCTTCTACTTTGCTTGCGCGAAAGTGCTTTTCGCTAGGTCAAAAAGCTTCCGGCAAAGCGAAAGAAAAGATCTGATCCAACAGAAATCCGCATATTGAGCGCAGCTGATATGCGGCTACAGCTAGGCGATCATATCATGCCATAAAAGACTTTGATATGTATAAAGAGATCCCCTATATATACAGATAGAATAGATGTTTATGGACAGACATTCCATTGATTCTGAGTTTTGGGGCTGAAAAAGCTCGTCGATCCAAACAAATGAATCATTCTTCTGGTATCTCTGCGCCCCCCGCCCCGAAACTGACCCACAGCACAGCGCCCATTCGCTTTGCGCGCGGGGCGGGGTTCCTCCAGCTTCGCTGAAGAAGCTAGGTTCCTCCGTGAAGTTCATGAGACCGCGGCGGAGTGGAGCAGCCGCGACACTCTTTTTCTTTAGCTGGATCTCGCTGGTGCCACCTAAACGGTAAGTAGGCGGCGGATGTGTGACGTTTGGAGTTGTCGTTCGTGCACCTGTCCCCAATGGAAGAATGAGTGATCCGTTCCCCTGCAGATCATGGCCTTACCACTCGGTCCCCGATGGCCAGCGGGGTATTCGGTATAGCAGCTCACGTTCGTTTGCGCCTTTCCGCAGGACTGGGCACATGTTAGCTGTAGGAAGTATGGTTCCGAAAGTGACTTCGGTTCGCCAGTTCAGGCTCAACTCCTCGCTTTACGTTAGCGGACCTATGGCTCGGGCCGGGGCTCCGCGCTCTTTCTTTCTGTGTGGGACGAGCGCGCCTTCCCTCCTTCTATAACTTTGGAAAGATTTAGCAGTATTTTCTTATGATGACCTGGTCGAGAGAGTACGATACATCGGTGTAAAAGGTTGAGTGGGATCTGTAAGGTTGGTTATAGTCAGGCCTGGCCGGAAAGTGTTCTTGCCTCTATCATTAGCTCGGGTAGCCCCTGTTTCTGGTCTTTTAGTCACCTTCCAATGGCTCTTTTCCCAATCACATCCCCGAAAGACAGAAGGAAAGACAAAGATTACCATTAGGCGAAAGCAGGTCCACAAGGTGAAGACTCTCTATCGTCAGATCGTTGGCAGTCTAGTTCTGCTTTCTTTTGAATCGAAGTTTAAGGCATTCAGACATGGGATTTGTTAAGTGCATTCAGCATCAGTATCTGCTTTCTTTCCTGGTGTAATTGAAGAGAAGATGTAGACAAAACTTACTTAATTCAATTCAAACCCTGTGCGAAGGAACTCAGGAATCACTTCCCCTTCATTGAAAACAACATAAAAAGGAGTGTTCTAAGGCCAATAGACAGAAAGTGAGTGCTTGATGTAGCATATCTGCTGTTCACTATCAACCATAGGCGTTCCTCGAGCAAGGCTCGATGGAATTGAGGTTCGATGTAATTGCGTTCTAGAAATGAGCCTTGCGACAATCAGAGAAAGATTGAAACCGTCCTTTCCAGTAGTATTGCTGCTGTCTTTTTTGCAGCTTTTATTGTTGCTGGAACTATGTGGTATGGTTCGGCAACTACTCCCATCGAATTATTTGGTCCTACTCGTTATCAATGGGATCAGGGATACTTTCAACAAGAAATATATCGAAGAGTTAGTGCTGGACTAGCTGAAAATCAAAGTGTATCAG